GATAATAGATTCCTGTAAGCTCATTAAACATTGCTTTATGATTTGCTGGAGTTCATGCAGTATCGCAACAATGCTTTTTTGCTTCCGATAATTAAATAGCTTGGCATATCAAATATGTCGAGTGTATGTTTTGTTTCTTTGTTGAAAATGTCCAAAACAGCTACTAAACATTGTTCTTTTCTGCACCTTTTAAGATTCACCAGATGTAACAAGAGGATGATTTCATGAGCTTGGGAATGTTATTAGCTCTGGCCTTATTAAATTCGTGGACCAGAGGGAAGTTCTGACATTCGAGCTAGAGATATTTGTACTGAATCAGGCATCAGGCAACAAAACCCTTTTTTCTCCATGGCTATGATGGTAGCTCGACTCCGTTCGGCTTCTGATTCGAGTTTCTTATGTGTTTGTAGCATTAAGTGCAAGGTATCATTGGATGTAAGAAAACAAGCGCTGCTTACATATTATCAATTTGAGTCTTTGCATATTATCAACTTATTTACTTTTTTTTAATGTTCTTCCATGAATGTTAATTCTTTTGGCACTGGAAATATTATTTTTGTGGTTGTCTGTTATTCTCAGATATTATTTATGTTATCAAGATTCAAGACAACGGAGATTTTGCTCACTGCTTTGTCCATACAATACTTTGGCTTTCTGTGACAGATGTGTTCTAAGTTGCACTCCTTGTAGTAAAATCTCTCTCTCTCTCTCTCTCTCTCTCTCTGCAAATAATGCTCAGCTTTGGCCAGTTCTCTCTGTACCCATGTCATATCTTAACTTTGGAGAACAATACGAAATGAAAGTGGCAAGGAATATGGTGGCCAATCACCATCCGATTATCACAAAAAAAAAAAAATGTCTTATTCACCTTTCACCTATCCATCCCTATAGACAACAATTGAAGGGAGGTGGTTTGGGCTTGTCTCCCTCATATCGCCCTCGTGAACAAAACGTCAAACGGGGACAGTAAGACAGTTACAACTTGTCCCCTCCATAGATCAGATATAAAAATTAACTCTCGGTGTTGTGTCGATGGATTCTTTCCCAAAGAAAAATTCATACCCTAGAAAGGAGCTCGAACTAACGTAAATGTCAGAGGGATCGAGTTGGAAAACTTCTTCTGTCATTGGTCTTAGTGCAAGCGACGCTTCGAAAGCTCGACACCCTACCTTGGAGCCACTCAAGAACCACCTTGGAGTCACTTCGAACACTCCTACGCCTTTGGGTTTGGACCATGTCGGGTTGACTCGGACGTTGATGCCGATTTCCCTTAACATTTTAGTGCTAGAAGAAAGTCTTGACGTCGTAGGAATGTCTATTCGTTAATCCTTTCAATGAACACTTAAGCGAGGAAGACCTATCTCTAACCTATAGCACTTTTACTCATGGGGAACAATTGCCTTTCGCCTCGTATGTGAATGTGTCCACTTCAGCACAAATGTCAACAAAGCATTAGTGTCGGTTTAATGACCCAGGCCTCTCATTCCCTAAGATGAACTTGAGCTTTATGCTCATCCCCGCTAAGGTGTTTCTGAATCTTACTCATCAGGTGGCAGATGCTTACAAGCATGTAGGCTATCACCTTGCTCCTACCTCAGTTAACCCAACAAGCAACGCCACCATCTCAACCACGATCGACACTTCAATTGTCACTAGCATCAACACTTGTCGGAATCCCCTTGACAGACGCGATGCCAGCATCTCAAGATTGCCTAAGATCCGTGGAAGTGTCGGTCGAAGGAGTGCCCCGCTCCCCAACCATAGAATTCAACACGCTATCACACCATCGCTCTGCTCCACCCATATTTGGGACCCAATTGGTGGATTCGATGGATGACTCCCTTAGGGTCCAAGTGCAGCAAATGTACCAATGCTTGGATGAGATACAACGAGAAAGAAAATTATTTTATGAAGGCAAACAAAACTTTTGATCTCATCAAATGGGCACTAACAAATTTGTATTACATTACAAGAATCCTCTAATAGTTGAAATCACGTGTGCTGTTGCAAAACAAACCAAACTGACCGATACCAAAATTGGCACAAACATCCTCTCGAGAAAAACACAAACTTCAACCGACATGCTCATCGTTCTCATCAGTCCCTGCAGGAATCTCTTGTATCGAAACCTGAACTGGTAGTAGAATCAAGCTCGTTCTCATCAGTTCTTCCAGGAATCTCTTCTACAGCGGCTAAACTGCTCGCAACAGTTCTCTTATTATCACCTTCTAGTGAAGAGGTAGGTGTGTCCTTGCCAGAACTCAATCCCATTTCATGCTCCTCTGAACGCCTTGACCCATTCAATCCATGGCAGTGGGGGCAGTAATATGTTATGTATGAGAAATCCTCCTCCTTAGCTAGTCCTGCACACATTCAACCCGCAAGTTTTGTGAAAGCCATAAACAAAAGCAACCTTTTTACTAATTGCAGAGAGCAATGAGCATCTACTCCACCTACCATTATGCATGTGGCAGTGGGCACATATCAGCGCATAGCACTGAGTTGGATCCTCCCCAACGAGCAGCGCTGCTACACGAGCAAGCCAACCCCTATCACCAAGGGCCGATCCCTCGAGGCGTTCAACAACTCTCTGATTAGGAGAACCAATTTCTTGGGTATCAGCAATATATTCATTAAGTGTTTCATCGATGAACTCAGATGTCGTGCTGCTCCCGGTGCTATGACATAGTGCTTGTGATGGTTTCCTGTTGCGCAGCCCAGCAGACTGGACCAGCTCAGCATCATAACTTTTGCCTGATGCACTTACATTGGATTCGTCTCCCACATGGAATCTCAAGCCAGAATCTGCCCCAAGCTTGGATGCCAGAACACTTGCAGCTGCCGCCTTTGCAGCAGGATCAAGATCATACCTCTGGGGCAAAAGTACAGTCATCAATATACAAAATTATGTATCACACTTGAAAAACCATTTACAAATGCCAGCACACAGCACAATTAAGAAATATATGAAGCATAGGTTTGATAAAGTGCACAAAGTAAGCCAAAAAGCAGATTCAACACAGAGGCGAGCAAGCAATATAAGACAGTGAAAGAAAAGAAAGCATATGCAGGGGAAACAGAGATATCAAGAACAAACCTGAATGAGTTGTTGTGTGGTGTAATAATTTGTTTTCTCCTTGAGCTCATCAATTTTTGCTTGCCTCTCGGCACGAAGTCTTTCAAGGGTTTTATGGTCCTTATAATCAACTGCAGAAAAGAAAGCGTAACGATGATCAAATACATCAAGTACTGATGCTTTAATGATTAGAAAGGAAATCTACTACATATTTGCACTCAGTTCAACAAAACGTAATGTGCTAAAACATGCACCAGATAAGTACGGAAAAAGCAAGTCAATGGTTGGTTGAATAATATGAGATATTTAAGCTGTTTAATACTAAAGAAGGTAATATTGGGTGCAAAACAGCTGCAAAGCGAATATCCAAGTATTTGGTTTGGCTGCATAGATCTTAACTGCCATAGAGATATATTAATAAATATTCTACTCATGAAAAACAGTCTGCTCTTTGTCCAATCAAATCACTCAAACTATTTGCATGGCATGTATATAATAATAATAGAAAGGAAAATAGATATCAGTCCAGCAATTTCAGAAAGCACGAATCAAGGTAATGTATAGAGTAGAATAACATGTATGTAAGCCATAAATATAGAGAATTGAAGGATTACACTGTAAAACTGTCTAATATTGGGCGAAGAGTTTCTGATATTTACGTATTCTTGTGAAGCTTACAAGTGCTGAGTAAATAACAGTTGACAAGCCAGGTAATACAAACACGGGCAACACTCGAATAGCCCTCATCTTCCAATCCAAATCCTCTGATCTTGTAGTGACTACAGCATAACTCACGGCTACCACCTAGTAAAGAGTAACTACTGTCAGAGACTAAGATCAATTAAATCAGTAGCCAAATATTTTAGTAGTTCGAAAAAATCCATGCCAAGAGTTACCAAATGCTAACAGGAATTCCACAAGTAAAACCAAGTCATCAACAAAATAAAATGTATATACAGCCCAAAGCAACAGAAAGATGATCATGAAGATACTCAGACTATGATGAGAACTGGCTTTCTATAAAATTTTAGGAGACACCATGTGATAAAATCATTGAACTTTGCTTGTAAAGCAGCCTACTCTCAAAATAGCTGCTGGTTCTGTTGTTACTCTAGGCAGGAACATCCTGAGGATGAAGTTCGAGGTGGGAACCAAAAGTCTAGTCCTAAATAGAGTTGAGCAAAAATAAGAAACGAAATAATTTGATTAAAAAAAACAAATAAAGGACACCTGAATTGCATCAATTATGAATGTTGTAGCGTGGCAGGAAGATACTGTAAAAATTGTCCACAGAATTAAGACCTGTTCAAATCAAACCGGAAAACCAAACCAAACCTGAACCAAAGCGCTTCGATCCGAACCGGTTCATCAATAATTCAGTTTCGAATGCTATAAACGATTGCAGTTTGGGAAGTTACTCTTCTTCGGTTCGATTAACCGGTTAGGACAAAATGAAACCAATTTTAATTTGAAAAATACCAGCCCAACCCAAAGCCTCAAAAACCCTATAAACCCTGCCCAAACTTGATGAGTTCACCACTCTTCTTTCATATATGCAACTCCTCTTCTGTCCCCTTCTTGTTCTCGCTCTCTCATTTCAGGTATGAACCCTTTTTTTCATCCTTGTATGTTAACAATCCCTTTATTGATTCGTATGAATTCCTTTATTGATTTCTATGCATCACTACATATCCTCATCAACAACATGTTTTTTTAGAATGTATAGAATGATACTTATGATATAATTTTTTATGAGAATGTCGATCCAATTGGATCAAAATTCTGGTTCGGTTTAATTAAATTGAACTGATTCACCAAATAGAACCAGTTCATTTGATATTTATATATATTTTTTAAATTGCTTCAAATTGAAAATCAGCTAACCGAATCGGATTAATCGGTTGTGAACCGGTTTGGTTATGTAGGTCTAAAATGGCTCCAGTTCGGAGTACCTTCCTTTAACCAAACCAAACCGCTTTTCCGGTTTGATTTGGTTCAGCCCTTAATGGTTTGATTCGAACCGGTTTGAACACCCCTTGGAATTACACTACAATCATCCACTTACTAATAAGATATAAATCGTGACATGTAATTTACCCACTCTCTATTAACATAGTATTTTGTTAACTCAGATAGAATCTAACAATAAATTTGATATCTTGACATTCTAATTTACAAGTAATGACCATGTAAATTGCAATAAAATCATTTCTTTCAAATTTACGCTTCAATTTGTCAGAAAAAGAAACTATCTTCCTAATTCTTTAACATAGCTTTCAAAACAAGACTTCTTTTCCCCTTCAACCACTGCACGTCGAGCTCAAACAATTTCAATGGTTGTCGCCCGAGGGAGGATAGAAAGCAACAACTGACCTCGAGAATCACGGAGAGGAGTACGATACTCCTGGCCGTCTTCCGGGACGAGTGAGCCCTTCTCTTCAACCTCGCGAGGACCAACGCCTCCTCCTTGGAGAGGTGCTCCAACCTTTTCTGGAAGTCGTCGTCGTCGTCCCCAAAGATCCGTCTCCACAGCCGGGCGACGACCCCTCGGCGCCGCTTCTTCCTCAGCGCCGCCGCCGCCTCGCTGCATCTGTCGGACGACTTTGCAGGATCATCGACGTCAGCCGGAGCGCCGTCTTCCTCCATTCCTGAAGGGAAACCAAAAGGACGGGGATCGGATCGAATTGGAGAAACATATACCGATCAGATGGAAAGGGGGCTCAAGATCGATTCATCTTTGGAGGAGAAGGGAGGAGGAACCCTTACCACCGTCTCCCGGTTTGCCCTTCGATCCGGGTTCTCAGTGGGCAAGAAATGGAGATGGGGCCGCGTAAGATACCGAGGAGTTCGTGGCGGGGTATCGGCCTGGCACGGCAGGCGGGTCAAGAGAGATCGTACCGCTTGAGCGCATGGAAACATCTACAGCTCTGCGGATCTAAAAATAACTGTCACCGATCACATCATCAATCATAAAGTTTGTATGATTAAGTTCCACGTGTCTCTCAAACATAATATACGTTGTCAAAACATACAATGATGAAATGGTTTGATATTGATATAGCGATTGAGATCATGACATTTGAGGTGAATATTTTCTCATACAACCTTCATGAGTTGCAAACAACATATAAAATGATTCTTTTAGGTGGGAATGTTTTTATTTCAAAATTACCAAACTAATATTAAACACTTCATGTATCTAAAGCACATAGCTATGATTTTGATTTATTTTGAGATGATAGGAAGAGCTTGAGGATCGCATACACTAACAAGTTGTAACAGTTTTTTCTTTTTTAATTGTTGTGAAAATAGGATTGCAGACATATAGATTATTTTTATACAACTTAATGTCAAAAAGAAAGGAGAAACTTTTTTTTTTCCCCTCTAGTTAGTCAATCACTTTCACCAATTCTATGTAATTAAGGAGTTTGATCTTTGTTTCACAGCCACCTCAATTAAAAGACTTCCCAACAAAATACAACCCAAATTCAAAGTTTTGAATACTGTTCGACTCCAAGTCTATGGGAAATCATCTGCATTTTCAAGGTCATTGGTGCAAGCAAACAAGAAAACTTCAACAAGCAGCAGTTGTAAGCATCACTTGTAAGTGCCGAGCATGTACATTACAGCCATGTAATGAAAACCCACTTATCGTAAGGTTAGAGGGGAACACAAGACCATAGCCAGAGGCACTGTGCCAGTCTCGGTTGACGCCTGCAGTTTTTCCAAGCTAGGAAAAGAACTGTTCCAAACACGTAGATGTGAATACATTTGGCGCTATTTGTCCTGATTCCATTTCCGAGATATAGAGTTGGAATCTGATAAATCGCTGTTTGGAATTGGTTCATCCATATGTTAGCAACACAAGAGCAAGATCTTCAATAAACATATAAATATAAATACTGACGAAAGGAGCTCACCAAAAGCTGCGAGATTATTTCCAGATTTGAATCAATATGCCAATCAGCCTCCAACTGCCGCACAAATGATGTTCGCCCGACGTCAGTGCTGCAAAATAGGACCTGCGGAATAGTCCAAAGGGAAAAAATATGATTAAAGTTAGCATGAGCGGGGAAACAAAACATGAACCAACAAAATCCTAGGGATTTAACCAAGTTCAGACACAAACTCCAAGGGTATGCTAATGACTAAAAGAGAGAGGAAGATTGACAAACAGGAAAGAGAATAAAATTTTGTGAGGATGGAGGTACTGCAGATGTCCACAATATAGAAACAAAAAAGGACTGAAATGCGCATGATATCACAATATCACATTATCACCTAAAGAGTTGGCTTCTGCATCCTCATTATCCTCCTCGTGCTGAAACAGATCAGCCCACTTCATCATAGTTAAGTGAAGAGGTGATGCGCACAGTCCTAACAGAAGCCATAGAGGTCTTCATTCTTCAATATTTCTCAACCACCACTATTATATTGTCACAGTTATGTCTTCTCTTTTCCTGGGATGAATTAACTCCAATAAGTTGAAATTTTCTTAGGGCTATGGCTCTGAATATAGCCATAAGCATTGCTTCTCATTATTCAATCAACTTCTGTTGTCTAGCAGCCATGTTGTTGTTTAAGATCTACTCAATATGGATGATCATCCATGCTTCTTGGAGAGACCTAATCTGATTAAAAAGGCTTGGAGTGGATCTATATAGGTCGTGCTTACAAATGGAATGGCCATGCACCTATTCTGACAGAGCTAACCAAATTTATGTAAACCAATGCTTTACTGCATAACTGGTCCCAAAACCCCAATTATAAATACCATCAAATAACTCAAAGAACTACCCCCGATGGCCCAGTTCATTGATTTACAATGATCATAGAACCAACCAAATGCTCCCATCTAAAACACACCGAAAAACACAGAATACTCTGTGATTTGGTCCATTCAACTCACATACCTCCAACAATTCCTAGCCATTCTTCTATGACCTCTCCTGGAAAAAACTACAGTTACGAAGAGGAAAAGATCAAGGATCTGAGAAAGCATGAAATAAATTCCTAACTGAAACCAAGATACCTTGTCCTTGATCAAGCTGCCCGTTTGGAAAACTCCACCATTCTCAAGAGCTGAAAGAACTCTCTCCTGCAGCAAAAGACCTTTTCACATATACAGCAGAGCTGCAGAAAGCAAGATTAAGTTGAAATTGTAGAACCTATTTACAAACCAAAGCATGACCATCGTCCAATTTGTCTAATCCGACTGAATTAATTACAAAATTGCAGCCTTAAGAAATCACAGACCAGCACATTTGCAGATATAAAAAAGCAGAGGTAATTTTCTACTGATTCTTGGCAGATGTGTGTATTCGTTTTTAAGATGTTGCGATATAGAATATAATCAACAATCAAATTACAGATAAGAACCATATATAAATTGAAAAATAATCCAATAAGGAAAAGACAGACTGTGAGAAAAGATTAACACCACAAAATTTCTGTTAAATTTACATCTCCCAGTACAAACATGTGATAATAAATTCATAGGGGTCTTCAGCATTCAGTCTCCATATCAACAAACATGTGATTTCCCTATCCAGTCTCCATATCAACAAAAATATGCAGCCAGTGATGAACTTTTTTTTTTTCTTTTTACCCTCAAACACATTACGTTGACACCAGAAAAATATGAGACACAAGAGATAGAGATTCCAACTGGTTCAAAACTTGATGAACAAGCAATAATAGGTGACACGGGCCTTTTAAAAAAATCCAAGTTTTGAAGAAGTTGAAGAAGATGCAGGTCCAAAATCAGTGGCAAAGTTTTGAGAGTTGTGCTGATGAATGAATAAAATAATTAACATTGCAATCCAATCAATAGGGCATATCATTTTACAAGACACTGTAATGCATAATCCCAGCCAGTCTGTAATTATATTCAGGAAGAGATGGGTGAAAAATAAAAACAAAAATAATTTTTACCTCACTTTCATCATCAAGAACAGTTTCCATCAAATAAAGATCACAATATTTAGAGATTTCCTCTAACACTTCCAGCACAGAGAGCCTGAGAGTAGCATGTTTCTGCAAGAATGTAACCATATAGTTCTTTGATCAGTCTTGATCAGAAAGAAAATCACCAAAGTCCTCAAAATCATTAACCTGAAGCTCTTCAGGAGTTTTCTCCTCCAGGATCACACCAAGCAGCTGACAAGTCATCTGCAGTATCACATAAATAAAAGAAAATCAATTTAGAAGTATCCAAACTACTCATAAAGTTAACAGAGTTAATAAATTATTTACTGACAGTTCAGGAACCAATCGAAAATTACAAGCTAGCAAAGCTGTCTACTGCTCATCTCAATGCCAAATTATCGTTTGATAACATATTCTTGCTGACTATTTTTTACATAAAAATGTTAATAAAATGCATCATTTTGTTCCCATTTTATGATATAATAATATTATGTATTTATTTACCATTGAAATAATTGATTTTTTTTCAAAGTACTTAATTTTTACCTATTTGTTCCCAAATGGTTAATACGTGAATATACTTGATAGGACAAATTGTAACGGCTGGTGTAAGAAAAATTCGGATGCAACAGTCCTAAATTTGATGTGGTCATGGCAACATAATCACTAATGAAGTCACAAGTGTCCTCATGACATGAGCAACAAGGATGGTGGCATCTTTCCTCACCACCATATCACAAATTGGGAACTACCGACTGAAGCACTGAGATATGATGCAAAAAAGGACAAAAACCCTAGTGAGAGAGAGAAGGGCAAGGTTAAAAGGACAGGAAGTAAAAGAAGAAGTGTGTGGAAAGGAAGAGGAAAGGAGGAGGAAAAAGAACAGTTCTCCAAAAAGGGATGAGGGAAAGGGGTAGGTGGAAAATCCACCTAATTTCTTTATTGGAAGCTAAGAACTTCTCTATCATTTTTGGGCAGAGACCTTTTGCTCATACTATGGTGCTAACTGTCTGGAGTCATTATCACCTTGCAGGAGAATGAAGTCAAAAAAAAAAAAAGAAGAGAAGAAACAAGATCAGGAAGGTAAACTAGGAATTTATTGTTCCTGGTGATAATGTTACTCCTCTTAAAAAAAATATATTCCCTTTTATCATCTTAAAAAAAATGAAGGGTTTGATTGTGTACATTTAATTAAAGAAAGTAGGGTCCAAAAAAGAATTTGGTTTTCTTGCACAACAACTGAAACTAAACTAGACAAATTCCTTCTTTAGCAAATTCAAAAACAACAAAAGCTATAGAATGAACCAAATCAAATAGATATTGATTCAAAAGTTTACTAATTTTATTGATTTATTTGCTCACAACTAGCTACGGCACCTAGAGTTTGAGTTCATTTACACTTCTGCATAAAATATAATATATCAGGGTGTCAAGCTGGTCTATGCATGCAGACAGGACACTGTTTTATTTATTTATTTATTTGATATACTTGAATAGAAGAGAGAACGTAAGAATGGAAAGAGATGATCCTTTTAATGGGTAGGCAATTACCAGTGTCTTGTGTCCTCTCGAGTATGTTAGTGAAGCACATGATCTCCTATCCAGAGTGTTTGCTATGAGCCTATATATCTATTTTCTCCCAGTTGTCCATTTACCAGTAAATTTCTCTCACTTCTTTGCTTATTACTAGTAACTCAATCAACATCAAAATCTGTTGTATGGTAATGGTAGCTAATCAGAGATCTACTATTTCTCTTGACAGTAAAATACTTAATGAAAACACACCATCTCTCTTAGATCTGATCAAAAGCGTACTATAGCATCATTAAGACTCGCATCACCTTCACCC